TGATTAACTAACTAATATCAAGAAATGAAAAATCGAGAATATGACAAAAAGAAGGAAGTACAAGTTTTGCATATCGGATGTTTCATTTGTAGATTGACTGGGAATGCAACTTTGATATCATAAACATGTTTTCATTGATTTTTTATGGAAGCCTTATAATTTTGCAGTTGACTATCTTTGTGCTCTTTTGTGTGTGTGTGTGTGTGTGTATGGTGATTACTTTGGTCCCTCTTTTGCGTCACTCTGAAATTCAACGATATATATTGTTGATCTCTTCTTGAGATGATATATATCAGGTCTAGTTGAGATAAAAATCTTGGCTTTTGAATTTTAAGAAGGCTAAGTTGGACTTAATGAAGATCAGAATTTTTTTTAAGCGAGCATTAGCAGGAAACCTGTTAAAAATTCTTTCTTGTCTGAAAAAAAATGTTTATTTAACTTTTTTCTTTTTATTATGTTGTTTCAGTGTTGTTATTTAGGCCCCGTTTGGGGTTGCGGTGCTTTTGGTAAAAAAAAAGTACTTTTAAGTGCTAAAAGTACTTTTAAAGTGTTTGGTAAATATCATCCTATAAAATTAAGAGTAGAGCTTTTAGCGTTAAAAGCACTTTTAGCAAAAGCTTAAATTTGGTGCTTTTAGAGTAGATTTTGTGATTTAAAAAATAAAACATCAAATTTAATCATCTTATCCTATATTATGAACCAAATAAGAGATAAACACTTTTAAAAATTTTCAAATTACACATTATCGAATACAATAAGTACTTATTGAATTATATCTCCAAACAATATATTTAAAAGCACTTAAGGAGTTGATAAGTACTTTTATTAAAAGCTCTACTAGAAAAGTACTTTTCAATAAGCCACCGCAACCCCAAACGAGCCCTTAATAAGATTGGCTCATGAGCTCTGAAAACTTTATGATTGATAATTACTTTGGTAATTTCTTGTCCATGTTGCTTTTGAGGGAGATCAAAAGTAATTTGATTTGAAATGTAATCAGTAGCTGAGGGAGAAGCTTTTATTTGATATTTACTTGGCAAAATATGAATGAATGCTGTGTGTAGGCCCAATCAGGAATATATTATGGGCAAGAGGTTGGCAATGTGTCAAGCTTTGGGCATTCAAGGGTACCTCAAGACCATGGTAATCTATATGTAAAGGGAGTGGCTCAAAGAGGATCTCCCCCGTGGCGAGATGATGATAAAGATGGACATTACATGTTTGAGCTTGGAGAGAATTTAACTACTCGCTGTAATTACAGTTTATTTTCTTGTTCAAATTTAGGCATCTGTACATCTATGTGATGATTCTGTTTCTGCATGCTTCTCGATACATTTTTCTTCTGTCAACTTTCTAAGTATTTTTGAAGAGAGGAAAATGAAGAGGGAAGAAAGAACTAACTAAAAGACGATTAAGCTCCCCCCCCCCCCCCAAACAAAAAAAAAAAGGTTGGTAAGAATGATCAATACAGGAAAATTGAAACGTAATGGAGACATTATACAACTTCAAAATATAATTTTAAAATCTGCATTGCGATTGGTAACTTTTGGAATTTTATTAGGTAGAAGAGAAAATTGAGGAACCCTTATTTCATTTGGTTTACTTGGTGCTCCTTGCTATAGTACCGGAGTGTGATGACCAAATAAATGATGTCTTGCTTTGTGATCGGATAGTGCTGTCCAATCAAATGATCCTTTGGTCAACCCCGTCCTCACCTTAGGGCTTCTCCTAGAAGAGTGCATCTAAAAACTATTGTATTGTTATGTTAACAGAGTTCTCTTTGAAAATATGCTTTTGATGTTGTTAATGTCTGTTTTGTTGTCTGGTTGAAATTGTTAGTTTCCTTACCCTGTTTTTGTGCTTGCAGATAAGATTCTAAGAAAGATAGGAGAAGGTAAGTCTTGACACTTCTATAGAAGATCCTTTTAAACACCTATAACTAGGGCTGCAAACGAGTCGAGCCGAGTCGAGTTTTGGCCTTATCGAGTTGAGCCTTGACTTAATTTCATCGAGCTCGAGCTCGACGAGCTGGTAATTTTCAACCTTGAGCTCGAGCCGAGCTCGAGCTCGAAAAAAATTAAAAATAATTATTTTATTTTTAAAAATAAATAAAATAATATTTTTTTTTAATAAATAATAAAATATTAAGGATATTTATGTAATTTTACTATTAAAAATAAAAATACAAAAAATAAATATATATATACTCGAGCTCGCGAGCTAACGAGCTTAATGTTTTGAGCAGCTCAAGCTCGATATTGATCGAGCTCGAGTCGAGCTAGCGGCTCGATTCGTTTGCACCCCTACCTATAACTATTATGGTCTATTCGCATAATTTCTCCTCTTATGGAGAGTATGCTCCTTTAATGTGACAGGTACATTTGGTCAAGTGCTAGAATGTTGGGATAGGGAAGCCAGGGAGATGGTTGCAATTAAAATCGTTCGAAGCATCAAGAAATATCGTGAAGCAGCGATGATAGAAATTGATGTGCTCCAGTTGCTTGGGCGGTATGACAGGAGTGGCGGCCGGTAAGCTCACCTCTACACTGTTTTCCACAGTATGTTTAATTGACTTTTTCTTCACGCAATTGTGAATTTCTGGGTGGTTAAGTGAGTTTATTCCTTGCAGTTGTGTCCAATTACGGAACTGGTTTGACTATCGTAACCATGTTTGTTTAGTAAGTATACCAATATGATTTTCTAACTTTATAAATCTTCTGGGGGTTTTGGCTTGTGAATGTATTTAAATGGTCTCCACAGGTGTTTGAGAAGCTTGGGCCAAGCTTATTCGATTTTCTACGCAAAAACCATTACCGCTCTTTCCCGGTTGACCTAGTCCGTGAGATTGGCAGACAACTATTGGAATGTGTAGCATGTGTGTCTCAAAACTGTCACTTACTCTCTAGTAGGATATATGAAGCTGTTTGCTTTGGTAGCCTACGTGTTTGTAGCTTCCATCTCATTCTCTTTTCCATTCTGATTTTCTGGTGTTATATCTGAACTTGTTATTTTCATGCTGCATGTTTTTGCTTTGCTGAGTTTTGTAATGTCACGAGCTTTGTTTTTATGAGATTGTGATGCTATGAGTGTTTATGTTGATTTTTGCTGCAGTTATGCATGATATGCGTCTCATTCATACTGACTTGAAGCCGGAGAACATTCTCTTTGTCTCTCCTGAATACATCAAAGTACCTGACTACAAGGTACATTAAGCTTCTAAATTCCAACAATAGTTGTAGTTCCTTGCTTTCTTAATGGTCTCTGTGCGTTTTGCATCTCTGGGTATTGTATATTCCATCTTCAGTATATTCTGTTTCTTTTTTTCCCTTTTGCTTTCCCCTTCAATCTGCTGTTAAAAGTTCTATTGGCGGTCAGTATTTGCAGGTTGCACCATGGTCATCAAGAGATGGGTCGGTCTATAAGAGGTTGCCGAAGTCAAGTGCTATTAAGGTCATTGACTTTGGTAGCACTGCATATGAGCGCCAGGATCATAACTATATTGTCTCTACTAGACACTATCGTGCACCTGAGGTTATTCTTGGTATGGTGATGTCCTTTTGCTCCAGTGATGATGGACCTACATATTTTGAAAGTGACTCAGTGGTGATTTTTCTGTTTGTTTCAGGTCTAGGTTGGAGTTATCCTTGTGACATTTGGAGTGCTGGTTGTATCTTGGTGGAGTTATGCTCGGTATTTTGACTGACTGAGTAGTTAATTTACCAGTTGGTTAAATAGCTGCATACTGTTGCTCAAGAGAGTTTATGCAGGAAATGCTCTATATTTATCATACAAGTCTCTGTTCATTCGGCAGGGTGAAGCTTTGTTTCAAACACACGAGAATTTGGAGCACCTGGCCATGATGGAGAGAGTACTTGGGCCTTTACCACAAAACATGTTGAAAAGAGTGGAGTGAGTGGCCTGTTTGTGTTTGATGCTGAAGTTCATATCTTTGTTATGGTTGGCTCTCCTTAGGCTAAAATTTTACTTGATTGATGTAGCCGACATGCTGAGAAATTTGTACGAAGAGGTAGACTTGACTGGCCTGAAGGTGCAACCTCCAGGGAAAGTATCAAGGCTGTCATGAAGCTGCCACGCCTTCAGGTGGGTTGTCATGTTTTGTCTTTCTTATATTTTTCATTTTCATTTTATGGTCTTTGAGGATCCTACTTTTTGTTCTTCTCGCTTCTACTTATAGTTTATTAGCATTGCAGAATTTAGTGATGCAGCATGTGGATCATTCAGCTGGGGATCTCATTGACCTCCTGCAAGGGCTCCTCAAGTATGAGCCTTCACAAAGGATGACGGCTCATGAAGCTCTGAGGCATCCCTTCTTTACTAGAGATCAATTCCGAAGATCTTAAAAGTGGAAGAGACCATTCAAATTGTGAGCAATTTGTACTTGGAATATGGATTCGATTTGCGACTGAATCCGTGATATAGTAAATAATCCGTTGCAATATATTGAGATCTTTGCTCGTACTATGATATTCATATTGGATATTCTTCATCTTGTAAAATGTTCTTGGTCAATTTTTTGTCAGTACACAAAAGAGAAACCTTCAGAGAATTGAAGTGGTAATTATGGAGATTTTAATGGTTTTGGGTTTCGCAAAATAAGAGGCAAAAATAATACAATCAGATTGCCGTTTCTGATCTACTTTGATAACCAGATCTACCATAGCTGTGCTCGTGTACGATGTGTTCTACTTGGTGAATTATTCGCTGTTATAATTAAGAAGTAAGGAGGAGGAAATAACCCTCGCGTCGTTGTATGCTAGTGTCTAGTAGTGCGTCAACTATTAGCAGACGAAACAGACTAGGAAGAGTACGAGCTGAATGGAAAGAAGAAACCTTGCATGGAATATCAAACTCGCAGACGCATTCAGTATTTGCTCCTGTTGGAATGCCTGATCTCAATTACTTTTTTGGGTTATTGCAGGCAGCTGGAAAAGACGATAATCTTCCAGGAAGGAAGCCCCTTCTGACATGCTTTTCCGGTAGATATCAACTTGTTTCAAATCTTATTCAAACAAAGGACTAGATGACAAATTAAATCCAAGTCGTCTTAAAGACAGAATATGACATCCATGTCAACCAAGAAAATGACAAACTGCAGATCAGCCGTTTCTAAAACTAGACTCTCCCACAAAATAGATTCTTCAGCTCACCAATTTTCACCTCTTTGTCAAGTTTCCTTCTAACGCTTTGTTGTGCATTTTTTGCTTATCAATACACCCGAGGGAGGACCAGTTAGCGTTATAATGCAATGGGTGTACAGCCAATAAGAATACCTCAACGCTCCACCCAAGTTCGACCTTGCTCTGAACAGACCCTTCACGTCAAACTTCACTCCTCCACTGTTCATTTGCCTCGCCAGACCTTGGCTTGGGGCAATGGGAAGCCTAACTTGACTAGTAACCATGTGAATATCTTCAAATATGGATTGACCCCTATGTGCCGTAAAGGGCTCAACATATCTCGTAGCTATTAAGTTTGATTCATAATAAAGATCCATTATCACATAACTGAAGTCCACATTCACTTTCTTGTTTGGATTGGTGAAGTTTGCTAGTATGGTAAGATCAGCTTCGAGAAGATACCCCGTGTCAAGATAGGCTGCATTCAGAGTTGCCGTTGAGATGTCGAATTTTGGAAGCCTTGGGCGATAGACTAGATAGATGATCAGTACTGCTAGACCTGCCACTATGACTATGATCCAAAACAGAGTACAAAATGCAGCAATTATCCAGGCTACAGGTCTAGCCTTACGTGTAGTATTCACTGGAAGAGGAGATGGCCGCTGTTGGCCCTGCCCTTGTTGCGACCTTGGGTCCTGCTCTGGGTCATCACCATGTTGGCCGAAATGATGTCCTCCCTGATGAAGCTGCGGTAGGGGCATTTCGCCTCCGTGTTTACGATGAGTCGTGGTTTTGGGTGGAATAACTGGTTGCGGCAGGTGATGTCTGGATGGACGTGGCTGGAGGGGTGGTTGGAAATGAGGGTGATGGGTATCATGTGGCCGTGGTGAAGGCTGAGTAAAATGGCCATCAGGATGTCTAGGGCCTTGTGGCGGCAGCCTTGGCCTCTGTTCTTGGAGCTGTGGATATGGTGGTTGTGGAAGAAAATGGGGGTTGGTCTCATGCTGAGGATACATGGGTGGTTGTGGAGGTTAAAGCTGGGACGTCCAAGATGATGAAGAGAAATGCTTTGTTCTGGATTGATCCCACGTGAAGAGATAGCTTCAAGGAAGAGTTAAGAGTTCGTCGAATTGGATGGAATCATGAAAAGGCAAAGAATCAGAGATTAGTTAAGCATGGAAGGCAAGTAAAATCTTATTCTTATTGATGCCTTCTTCCTTTTAAATTTGGAGTATTCCATCTCTTGCTATGCTGATACAGTCGTAGAATTTTAGCCTGGAAGCAGTGTGGAGAATACAGAATCGGCAAGCATGTCAAGCAAGTCGGATTCCACTCAGGAGAGTAAAATGTTTAAAAAAAAGGAATTCTCATCTTTGCTGCAATCATTAACTAGTCAAACGTTAATGATGAACTTTTCATCCAAATTTGATGAAATGACTTTAATGCTCGTACATAATGGTTACAGAATGATGCTACTCGTTTAGTCGAAAAACGTATTATCAGAAAAAAAAACACGGAGTCATATGATACCCCCAAAAAAAAAAAAAAAAAGAAAGAAGAAAGGGCAAAACACCAAAGTGTCACGAGGAGCATAGTATAATTTTGTTTGTGAACAAAATCACGAGAAGTCATATAATCATTGCGGAATCATTTGTTTGGATTGCATATTTATGAAAAATAACAAACTATAACACTTCCGACAAACATAGCCCGCACGTGTCCGTCTCGCGACCAGCGAGACATGCACTACTATCAAAAGAGAATTCTGTGAAAAACCGGGACTGACAGTAGAAATGGAGTAAGCTAAAGGAAGGCCAGAGAGAATTTTGTGGGCTACGAGACCAGTAAAACGGAATAACGTCAAGTTACCGAATGCGACCTTTTCTGGACAGGCTTCACAAGCTAGATAAGAGTAGTAATACTTCAAGAAACTTGCTACGTAGTTGACATGAGATATTACTCTAGAAAAGTTCAAAATAATCAAAGGAGGGCCACCCCCAACGTCCGCAAATGCAAGTCATGGAAGTTGGTAAGATTAATATATAATGGTTTTGATTCGCGTGTTGCTTGCTCCATCATATTATCTGTATCGCTTCTCTTAACAATAATATCATCAGTCCTTACAAATTGAGAGAATAAATTGACAAATATCATGCAAGCTTGAATGCTGCAACATTACGGGATGAATTTTTGGTATAGCAAACTATTTCTAATGTTCCTTTCGTGCCGAGTTTTACTTTTTTACTTGTGAGGAACTTCCTCTCCAATCTGCGGTGCAGGGGGAAGTTTAAAATGAACCTACTCTGCTCAAGTGAGAAGAGCATCAGGCGTTGGATCTTTAGCCTGAAAGGATACTTGGCTGGAGTAATGTGGAATATCAGAGTATATGTATGAGACCCTAGCATACAATATACACTTGGTTTTTTGATATGTCTAATATATACACTTGGTTTCGACACGTAATTAGCCACTCTTTGCTTCCCTCTTATAATTTCCTCTCATTTCAATAATTGCAATGCACGTGAAGCTGGTTCTCACTTCCCACATCCACTACTCATTGGAAGCTCTGAAATCAGAGACCCCAGCATATCGAACGATGTCAAGTCGTCAAAGAGCAGAGGACTTTTCTCTTCTCTACTAGACTATTTGATTTTTACTGAGGAATGGTGAGATTGGAAGCTTGTTGTAACAGAATGAAAATATTCGTAAGAAAGAGGAGCTTAGTCAAATTCAATATCACTAAGGAGAGCCCGGTGGAAGACAGCCATCTACTTCTTGTCTCATGGACCTGAAAACGCAATTAAAGCTTCGATTAAAGAAAAATCATACGAGGAATCATCAACTACCCTTTACAACTTCCAACGCCCCAAATAACATGAACCAAAAGGTCCAACACTTCAAAGGTTTCTAATTCTGTTCCAACTACCAGCTTTAACACGAGAGATTGCTATGTAAGACATGATAAAGATCCATACATGCAAGTCACTAATCTTAGGACTGGTATACATCTTTTTTCTTTTGGCAGAAGCATACATGCTTTAAAATGTCGTGCTTCCCCACTTCTCAAGAGTCTTGCATCTTGTCCTCCTCCTTTTCTTTCCAAATGTTCATATCCATCAGTGCCCTGAGCTCTTTCAAAGAATCTCTAATAAACATTAAGGGTCATTGACACACTCGACTTAAAAAGATCTTGACCCATATTGGCATTATATGTGGCAGTACTTTGTTAGGAAATAGATCAGAAATCAAACATCCAAGATGATCAAATCCCGCCCTTTAATGCTATCTTGTAGCCATTTGCACCGTTAGAGTCTACTTAATCTTTTTGCACCTTCCGCTATCATTTCATGCCAAGGGCATATAAGTCGTACATGCCTCCTTTTCAAACGCTTTGTAGTCCAAACCTATTCAAGAATCGAGATTATGTCCAACAAATCACCTGCATAAAATTGATACCTTTTATGATCAGTACAACCTTGAAAGGTTCCCTGTAAAGAAGAGGAGCTATGTCAGCAATTCACTTTCTGATTCAAGCTCGCTCCTGAGCATAATTTGCAACCTGGAAAATGTTGCCTTTTCCATTTCTCTTGTAGCCATTAGCTCCGTTAGAGTCTACATAAATATATCTGCACCTGCAAGAGAAAGACTGGTTGAGAAAGTTGCACATTGATGATGAAGGGATTATATCTGCACATAGGATGCTAAGGATTTCAACCTCTTCTCATGCATAAGTCTGTCCAGGATCCTACTTTACTGGAACTAATACGAAATACTGAATTTTGGCGTAATACCAAGACACGTTCAGGAACAATGCAACTGGAAACCATAGCCAGCCGCCTGAAGTGGTAACCTTTATCATCCAGGCATTCGTTTACCAAAGTAAGAAGTTGGGCACCTGAGGTTCCACCTCTATGTGCATCATTAAATCTTGCAGTACGCAGTCTTTGGTGCTTTAATTTGAGAAAGCATGTCTAAAAGGGGAAAAATAAAAACTGGATCAGTGAATTGTGAAACATGCAACAAAACCATTATTTTCCTAGGCTATTGTTTGCAGAAAGGAAAAAGAAACAATAGAATGGCACTCTTTTTAATGGCGGAACAGCTATAAATCTTTATGTATTCCTAATTGCAGAACTAAATTAAGTGACTAAGGAAGACAACATTGCTGAAAATGCAACCAAGTCCTAACCGTTCAGCTCTTTCCGCAGTGTGCAAGGAAGATCATTTGGCTTCGCAGACTGACATACAATGGTGCTCCTTAACAGCTCTCACAGGATCTTATAACAACTCAACCTGAAACATTGACACAAGAAAATCAACTCTCAGTGCACAAAAATATTGATCCTCATGAAAATCATCTCACATATGATGTATCTAAGAGGAAAAACTAAAGCTCTGCTGAGCTATGCGCTAAGATAAAAACCTTTTCTCTTGGTCCACTTTTACAAGTGTAATTGTTATCTGAAATTACCTTTTTCATTTAAATTAAATGACATTAAAAATTTTGTCAAATTTAAGATTCCTAGATTTCACAAGCAACACATATATGCAGAAACAAGCAAAAGAATAAGTCATCAAAACAAACTCGGTACAAACCATGTCTGATATTCATATAGGACGCGTCCTTCGAATGCATGGCATTGATAAGGGTATTGGACAATTTGTGGTCAAGAGTAAAACCCTTCTCCATCATGCAATCCCATACTGCAGAAGCCAATGAAATCTTTTTTTCCTGTAGGAGACCTCCAATGATCAATCCGAAAGTCACCCCATTTGGATGCAAACCTCTAGTTTTCATGTCCTCGTATAAATGCATGGCTTCATCAACTCTAGAAGCTCTGCAGAAACCTCTGATGAGAGCATTGTAACAAACCACATCAGGGGCAAGACCCTGTGCAATCATATCCCGGAAAATACTCTGAGCCCTTTCTACACTATCACTTTGGCACAGATGATTAATTATTACAGTATACAACACTCGATCTGGTATGATGCCCATCTCAGTCATCTGGTCAAGAAGCTTTTTAGCTATGCTAGAATTACCTTCTCTCAGAGAAGCTTCTATAAGAATTGTAAAAGTTATAACATCAGGTATTACTCCCTTTTGCCCCATCTCGTCTAGTAGCGCGTAAGCCCTCCTACTGCGGCCAACCTTGCACAATGATCTAATGATAGTGTTAAAAGTCACAACGTCAACCATGCCTCTGGCCTCCATCTTATTCAACATCAACTTGTAAGCCTTATCAACTCTATTGGCCTTGCAGAGTCCCTTAAGAAGCTGATTATAGCTATAACTATCAGGCTCCATTCCGCCTTCTCCATATTTTCAATTAATTTCTCCGCTTCCGCCAACATAACCTCATCACAACAGAAATTCAGAAGCACATTGTAAGTAACTGTATCTGGCTCACAACCATTTCTCTTCATAAACCTTTTTATTGCTTGTGCTTTATCAATCCTACCAGCTCTACAAAACCCATGAATAAGTGCATTGTAAATCTCTGTCGAAAACTTAACTTTGTCTTTCATTTGTCCTAATGTAAGCTCATATGCCAAATCAACCTTCCCATTTTGGCACAATCCTAAAACAAGTGCTCTACAAGCCTTATTATCCAAACTAAGGCCTTTCTTAATCATAATATGCCACAATTCAACTGCATCGTCAAACCTCCCAACCCCACATGACCCATTAATTGCTATAGTATAGCTTACCCGATCAGGCTCCCTCCCTTCTCTCCCATTGCTTTCAAAACCTTTAAAGCAAAATCCACTAAACTCTCACTACATAAAAGATTCAAATATATATTACACGCCCAAATATCCGGTACGACACCGAGCCTATCCATGTCAACTAAAAGCCTATCAATCAGCTCAAAGTTCTTAACTTTACACAAACCAGAAATGAACCTCGAATATGTAAATGAATTCAAGGAGAAACCTTTCGGCTGCATTTCAGTATAATAATGTTCAGCTAAGTTAAAACGTGAATGGGCAATCAAGACGCCGATAAACCTATTGTAGTCAATGCTGAAAACTCTGCAATCTGATTGAGTCATTTCGTCGAAGCCTTGATCGCCTGATCAACTAAGCCAGTTTTAACGTAGTATGCTACGTGAGCCCGGTAGATGAGCCGATTTCGACCCAGAGCTCTGTACATATTACAAGTTCCCTTCTCAAAAATGAATGCATAGCATCGATTTTTGGGCTGTTTACCTCAATGGGACTTCAAAAAAAAATACTCTTTTATATTGAATTTTAGACTTGAATAGGGAGCCCCAGTACCATAAAACAAGCTTATGAATATATCTATTATACAAATGGTAAAATGTAATGCAAATATAAATATAGGTTGTCTATGTATAGGTATGGAGAAAGATGAAACCTGGGCGCTGCAATGGAGAAGACGGCGATGGAGAGAGAGCAGACGAATGAGACTTGGGGCGCTGGCCCAAAACCAAGTCCGCACTCAAAAGATAGGGGGCTAGAGGGTGATGGACCTAGAAGTCAGTGGACGGGTTTCTACAACGGGCTACTGAAAATGTAGATTGGGCCCATTGTCTTCTGTTCAGGATAGGGTGGATGCTTCTTCAAAATCCGGGTGAGCAGCAATAAGGCGTTTGGGTATTCGGGAATTGGAATCATTACCGGATTACATACACCGCAGTGTGTACATACACCGCATTGTTTTTCAGATTTGTCTCGAATTTATCAACGTTAAAACAAAATTAAGCTGAAGTCAGTTAATCATTGAATAAGTTTAAATAAAGTAAATCAACCTTGTTCGCAAATTCTTTTGGACATGTCTTATTAACTATAATTACGGTAACTATGCATTTTCTTTACTTCAGACACTTGCTCTTTCAGGTTTGCAGCTGTATTTTATGTTTGTCATTTCCTGATAAAAGCCGGACGGCAACTTTCTTCAAACAAGACATCTTCTTGATAATCTGCCAATTCCAAATCAAGACCTGCTATGAATTTCACATTTTCGAACTCTTCATTGAAATTTGCTCATGATGGTCATCTGCATCCAACTCTTCTTTTATATATATATATATATATATATAATATATATATATAAAACGTGGCATCTAAACGCAACCTAGTTGATAAAATGTTTCGCATCCGTCCTCAAACTTTCTACATCTGAACACAGTCCTACCCATCCATCATAAAGGTGATGCTTCAGCTTTTGGCTTACATGCTTCAACCCATTGCATGGCACAGTCCTACCCATCCTACGAGTGACTTTTCTTTTGTTTTAGAGTTACTCTGCAATCCAATATCTTGCCTTATGGATTGATTAATTTCAAAAAAAAAAAGAAAAAAAAAGAATCTATCATTGCATGGCATGGTTTGTGTACATCATCAACTTGATAATCGGTCCCATTCGAAACTCATATCTCCTCCTCATCTAGAAATCTCTCAAACTATTAAATGATTGCGACTAAGATATCTGCAAGAATGAAGGAACCTATACTCAAATTCTTCTTTTTGTCTTGTATGGATCAATATATTCTCCCAAATCAATGTATAAATACTGCTTCGAAAACAAGTGACCGCATTTCCTCATTAATTAATGATCCAAGGGACACAATATTTTGACATCGGCCAGTATATTTCTCGTCATGCCTAGGTACGTACGTTTTACCTTCTGCATCTTTCCTGTCACGCAAGTAGCCTTGCGGAGCTTCAGTTTTGATTCCAAACAACATGCTATACTAATTGATTCCCAATTTTTCATGAAAGAATGTGGTTTGTACATTATTAGCGCATCTAGCCTGTGTGGTGTATGTGACAGAAGGAAAAGAAACTATTTAGTGGGTTTGTCATGATGTTGCTCGTAGGGTGAGAGGAAGGGTCAAAAAGAGACGTATTGGTCCGACTACCCTGCAACATATCCTCAACATCCATGGATGCAATAGTAGGCAAGGACTTGATCAGCATATGTAAATTCTGTGAATATCAACTCCTGGATTACCAATTTCACTGGTCCAATCACTGATCAGGCTAATATATCCACTGCGTACAGTCAGCTCAAACAAATGGTTAAAGAAGCTACATGTATATATTCTCGTTTCCGACTTCCCAAGTATTATAGCATGAATGGGCTGCGGTGCAAATTGAGACGGCAGAAAAATTGGCTTTCCTTCGGCTCCGCCCACCTTCCTTGACTTGAATACTCTGACTGGGAAATTCATGTTGTGGACCGCGACTGAGATTGCGATATGTCCGCCCCCACTTGAATCAGTCTTGCGTGTGTATGTGTCCGTAGTGTATCTATAACACATGTTGATGTATATGTAATTTTGGATGCATACTTATGTTAACGTATAAAGGCGTTCGTAATTTACGAAAGATAGAAACAATACGATGTACATCCGAAGATGCAAATTTACAAGAGATAATTGCAGTTTTGATCCGAAATATTTGGAAAGCCGAGCGTTTCAAATCCTTAAAATTTGCAGAAAAGAAAATGTAATCCTAAATGTTTCGATTTCTAAACACATTTAGTCCTATCGATTGATCTTTTGCCAATTGCTACCCGAATCTAATCAAGTGCTATTACGTGCCGGTAATTAATTTTTTTTTAAAAATTAAAAAAATGAAAACTATTATTAGCCATAATTTGTAGTAAATGAGGACTAATGACTCACATGTCGATCGTTTGAGCAATTAGTATTTAATCTAGAAATATAAAAATTTGATTGATAAAAAAAATTAGGTTAAATACTATTTATTCATGTGATTAGCATGTGAGTAATTAGCCATATTTTATTACAGATTATGGCTAGGAGTGTTTTATCAATTTTTAAAAATTTTTTTTTAAAAAAAAATTAGTTTCTGGCATATAACCTGATTTCGATAGTCATTGGAAAAAATCAATTGCTAGGACTAAATGTACAATTTGATACTACATTTATTTTCATCTATATTTGAGAGTTAAAAGCGCTCGTGCCCCAGACATTTGAAACAAAAAGTGCAATTCTCTCGATTTATAGTCCTAAGATGGAGGTGTAACTTCGACAATTGAAGGTGTAAATTAGCAAGAGCGTCACATGTGAGCAGCAATAGTGCATGGTTGTAACTAATGTGTTTACTTTTTTTTTTTTTTTTTTCGACACAGGGTGTTCGGGTCAATCCTTACGGGCCCGATTAATTCCCTGCGGTCCGGGCCCGACGCCCCAACCCGACTCAAGCACGTTAAGTGCGCGGAAGAATCCAGCGGAGCAGAGACTCGATCTCGGGACCTATTGGTCACCAGTGAAAAATACTACCGCTGGACCATTCACGCTAGGAGTAACTAATGTGTTTACCATGCAGCATCAAATACTACATCCCTTTTCATCCCTACTCTGCAAATTCAGCTTGGTCTCAAGCTGCAGTAGTTCCAGTTTCCGGCTATTCAATCAAGTGGTGGTGGTGGTGGTCAAAATACAACCGCAGTCTACTAGTAGCAATGGGAATGGGCTAGTAGCAGAACTTTGAAGTTTGAACAATGCCAGCAGTTTAGTTGACCACACTAACTCCATTGCCAGGGGATGATGCTCAAACTATACAACTAGAAAATTGGAAGGTTATTGGAAATTAAGCTCGAGTGATGTACTTTGAATAGAAAGATTACACAATTCAGAGGACCATAATCCTTAATCTACTAGGCAAGGCACGCTCGGTATGTTCTAGATTACGAGAAATTTGGGATTTTGGTCGGCGAGTTTAGTTTGACTGTTGACTGCAAAGTTACAACGTTGCATGCTTTTTCCTTCGGCTGGGCTGCAATGTAGGTTTTATTTTAATTGTGTATAAGGAGAGCACAATTGAAAATCTGCAAATTTGGAAGCTATATATCTAAACCAATTTAAAAGAGTGTTCCATACGAATTTCAATCTTACAAGTACTTCATAATTAAAGTCTGTTTGGATCAAATTTTTTTTTTGGGAAATTTTGTAGAAAAAATAGTACGTGTAAATATGTGTACATGTGGAGTAAAAAAAGAACGAAAAATCCGTCAAAAAATATTTCAAAAATTTCCCCTACGAGCTCACGATCCAATACGAGTGACTGCGTTCGAGTATTGCTCTTGCTCTTTCTAATTAAAAGACCATTTATTCGTGACCTTAAATCATTTTCTAAATAAGAGAACAAAGAATCTCGACGCATTTTAAAGTCAAACATCACAAACTCAATCCAAATCAATGGGTAAAATATAAAAAATCTCCCTATGGTTTGCTAAAATGTTCAATTTTAACTTTCTCTAATTTGAAAGCTGACACTATAGCTCAATGTGATTCCGACTAAGTTGAAAATTAAATGGAAGCATCCAACCTAACGATTGTATGTGAAATGTCAATATTATCCCTACTGTACGTTAAATGCTTTTCATTCAATTTTTAATTTTATTGAAATCACAGGGAATTATAATATAATTCGGTAATAGTGTAATTCGGTAAATCATAGGGAGTTCATTTATATATGGATAATATTGGATATTTCACATACAACTGTTAGATTTGATACTTTCCGTCCAATTTTCAATTTAGTTGAAATCACAAAAAAATATAATGTAAGTTTTCAAATCAAAGGGAATTAAATAGAACATTTGGTAAACTACGGGGATTTTTTTTTTAAACCAGCGCGAATAAGAAGTTTAAGGCTAAAAGCTAAATAGAGCGCTAGAATCATGATACAACTAGAGGTGCAATCAACTCAAGCCGCTTGTGAGTAGCTTGCGAGCGGCTTGGTCAAAAATTTGGCTCGAGCTCGAGCTCGAGTTTGAGCTACTCGTTTCATTCAACGAGTCGAGTTCGAGTTCCAAAAATAAATACTCGAGTGCTCGACGAGCTTAATCGAGTTTTCATATTATATTTATATTATATATTTTGAGAATATATTTATAAGTTTAGTTCAAAACTCGAGCTCGAATAGATCGGACTTGATATTTACTCGAACTCAAACGAGTCGAGCTCAAGTCCAAATTTATATACTCGTTCGAGTTCGAGCTCGAGTAATACTGATTGTGATCGAGTTTGAACTCGAGTATGGTGCTATTCGAGTTCGACTCGACTCGATAGCATGCCTAGATACAACCACTTTTATGCTGATTTTGCAATTGCAGTAAATTAAAAGAAAGTTTCTTTCGGCTTATTGAAAGCCACTTTTGAATCAAATACAAATCCTTGAAGTTAGAATTGTTTGGGTTGTATTTTTTAAAGAGTTTTTAGGATATAAACATTTTTGAAAATGTGATGTATTTGAGGGATTAAAGGGTAATTAGAAAAAATATATATATAAATAAATTAAAGAAGGACGGCAATCCAATCAAAGCCAAATCTCCCAAATTTCTTGTCGATCCCTCGAATCCATCAGACATGGGAG